CATGAATTCTGACACATCTCTGGAGTCATGCAGAACAAACAACAAAAAGAATAAAGTTTATTAATAAAAGAAAGTGCATTCTTGTGAACGTACATCTATTAGGAAGTGCTGCCACTCTTGACCATGGGAAAGTCTACAGATGACTTACTGTTGGTTTCAAGACTTTCACACAGTTCAGTTTTGACCTCGCCATTTGGTCTGTCATTTCCTTTTTGGGTCAGTTTGCTTTGCATTGTGGCAGCTGTCACTACAGCCTTGAAGCTCCGCTTCCGTTTTTGAACATTCTGCTCTGGATGAAAAATGATAATATAAACCTTGGGCATGTAGAGCATGCCCAGAGACACAGAAGCACTTAAACTCATGGAGACAGTAAGTGTTGTTGTCTGGATGTACATCTGGGGAAGGAAAGAAACAACAACATAAAAATCATTGTTATATTGATTTATTATAAGAAGGAAAATAAAGTAATTAACTTAAAAATACTAAGTGGAAAGGGAACCAATAACACTCTTCCTTTTCTGTACATACATCAGAAGGACCCTTGACTTTGGTTGCCTTTGATTATAGTCAAATATGTCTGTTTCATGTTGTTTCTTTAACCTTAAGAGTAGCTGGTAGAAACAACATAATATTTATTAAACTTCTTTGTCATAAAAGTAATCAAGATGCTGTAGCAATGCATTTTCAGAAAATAAACAAATATGTTGGTACAGGAAAAGAGGAGTGACAATAGGGTTAGCCTTGTATCATCTACTTTAGTACACAGAAGTCTCTGCAACAATATTCCATGTGGTGATTCAGTAGTACATGCAGCATGGTTCAACCGGCAGCAGGCATAATGCAGAATCTAATGAAATCTTTGATATACTCTCTGAGTTTCAAGCTTGTAAAAAAAAAAAAAAAAAAAAAAAAGTTTCTCTGTAGTGAAGCTTGAATATTCTTGAGTTTGTTGGGGTTTTGTTTGTTTGTTTTTAACATTTCAACCTTACTGTTGGATTCTAGTCACAATGCTCTGTTGGCACACAATAAATATATTAATATGTCACAGTCCTAAGAAAACAGAAAATCAGGAAACTAAGAAATCATATCACAGAGGACCTCAGTCCCCTATAGAAACAAAGGAAATTCTGACATTTCTGAGTGAGTCTGTCTATTGTTTGTTACCACCTACAAAAAGAAAGCAACGCTGGTCTTTCATAGTCCCATGAAAGAAGATGGTGATCACTCCATAAGAACAGCAAACAGAAGCTTCTATTTGGAGAAGTATTCAGACAGTATATTAGAAATATTAATTGTAGTTCTACTCAACATTTATCTTTTCTTAGGAAATTATATTTTATGTGACATTTTATGAGACAGCAATTTTACTTTACAATTCTGTATGGTTTGCTAAACTGAGTAGGAAATGTCTCAGTAATCATGTTGTTACACCGAAAAAGATACTGAAGTAAAGCCTGTTCCTTGCCTTGGCAGAGGATTCACTGACATTGTCAGGCACGATTTTAAGCGCTAGCCAATACTATCACATTAACCTGGAGATAAGGTAGTAAGTCTGTCTGCAATGTCAGCTTCAGATCACCTGTTTTTATTAAGCGCCCTTGGGTAACTTGGGCCTTGGCAGAAAAGTAGAGGTATAATAAACTCGTGTGCAGTCACTATTATAGTTGAACATTTTTTAATGTCTTTCAGCTTACAAAGTTTTTCCATTAGATACTTTCTCCTTAGAGATCACAAATAAACTGTGTTCTCATTTAAAGCAATGTTAGGTAAGAAATGTGACAAATGTATTTTGGAAGCATGGACTGTCGCTCTGAATTACCTTGCAAAGTATCTGTATAATTGTACAGAAAACTGCCAAATATTAACATAAAATGAGGGACAGTCCAATCTACTCTTTAAGAAAAGACTGACAATGCTTCAAAATTTGTAAAAAACTGAACCTGCTTTCAGGGACAGCACCAGACTGAAAATCAGATGATCAGAATTGTCTTCCTATTGTGCTGAGGAAAGTTATAGGACCAACACCTTCCTTCATTTCCATAATGCACCAAGACAATACATTAGAAAATATACACAATACAGTCTTTTCTCACACCAGTGGAATAATTCCGTTCCTTTCAAGCTCCAAAATGGTGGTGGTATGCCTGAAAGCAGAGCTTGACCTACATTTTGCATGAGCACTTCTAATGAAAACCTCACACGGTTACATTAATAAGCAGTTGTTTTCAGACCTCTGTGGAAGGACCTCTGCGCAGATGCATGTTCACATGCAAACAGCACCTATGACATATCCATTTCTCTCTGAACCACATTAGTTGATCTCAAATTAAATTGACAGTGGTTTTTAGGGTTAAATATTGCTTTAAGTCGTGTCCAAAAGGAAAAGTTTTTTGGTTCCTAAAGAGGTATATATTTCCTAATGGGATTTGCAAAACTGAAATCAATGCAAGTAATACCTTTAACAAACTGTAGTGCATACGAAAATTCCTTTAAACATAAAAAATCATTTCTGGAGCATTACCATTTTTTAAAATCCAACTCATGGCAGTTAAGTGGCTAGCTGAGCCTCACCCATGGAATCTGTAACAATGCCTGGCATTTAAATATATATTAAGTCCTTATCAAGTACCCAAGCTGTAAGGCTCATCTTTCTCTCATGGTTCAGTACAAGAGTTAGATGGGAAAAAAGGGATAAGGAACCTCTGGATGTTATAGGGTCAAATACACACATTCATGTAATGGTACTAGTCGTATTAGCAACAAATACGTGCGTTATGGTAGGTGTCAATTACCTTTTTTGTGATAAAAAGTCCCACAGTGCCAAGCTCTTACAAATACTGAAGAGAAACAACATCTGTCTGAAGGTTTACATTCAAGTAAGGCTCGTAAGTGAATCAACTCTATATCTGATCATGCATTCACTGAAATAGTAAGAGCCCATGGATTTAAATACACTTAGTGCAGGTATTTTGCATGAGCTATATCGTTACATCTAATGTATTTTCTGTGGACTTAAATGCAATGACCAACATAACAGTCTATTTTTAAACAATCCAAATCACAGAGAGCTTCATGTTGCAGATTACCGTTCATATGCAGTGGGATCTATTTCTAATGATTGCTGTGTTTCTGAACCAGCCACTATAATTATTGAAACATTGAAACTAGAGTGAGTTGGGAATTTTCTGACAGAAGATCTTCGGCCTCAGAGATTCTGTTTTGCATGGATCACCCTTACTACTCACTCTTTAATGAAGCTAATGAGAAAGAAGGGCTTCAAGAAACTTGCTAGACCTTGAGAGGAAGGCTTTGAACATATACTTACGCGTACACATTGCGTGTGGTTTATATATCAGCCTGACTCTGCATGCTAATGCAGTTGCATACTCAGCTACAGACTAGTTGTCAATGCCAGTCTGGGTCTGATTCCTTTTCCTATTAGAATCATAGAATAGTTTGGGTTGGAAGGGACCTTTAAAGGTCCTCTAGTCCAACCCCCCCTGCAATGAGCAGGGAAATCTTCAACTAGATCAGGTTGCCCAAAGCCCCATACAACCTGACCTTGAATGTTTCCAGGGATGGGGCATCTACCACCTCTCTGGGCAACCTGCTCCAGTGTTTTACCACCCTCACTGAAAAAAATTTCTTCCTTATATCTAGTCTGAATCTACCCTCTTTTAGTTTAACACCATGACCCTTTGTCCTATCACAACAGGCCCTACTTCTTTTTAAATGTTCATCTGCAGGTTGAGAGTCTATTTATAGGACAGGAACTCCCTCTGCATCTAACCCTTCCCATCTTTGGAATCTCCCTTCTTGCAGCCAGATGAAGCACAAGTCTAGCAAACAGAATGCCACACACTTGGTTTGACTTTTGTCTGACTCTTACCTTATTTTATCCTTGACAAGAGGACAAAGATGTTTTATGGCTGTGCATTCTGGGTACTTTTATTATTCTGGGAACATAACTACCTGTAACTTTTACAGAATTAGCTGCTCTAAAAATCAAGGAGCAACAAAAGTAGTTCAGTTTAATAAGATATGAGGTCTGAATAATTTTTCATGTGTCTCACAGTGGTAGCTCACTCTAAGTTACGGGAGTATAAAGGTCCCTTTCTCACAACGATTCATGGTTACACAGAAATGAATTTCAGCACTCCTCACACTAAAATCCCTTCTGAACTACAAACTTTTTGTCCAATAAAACCTTTCACAGATGTAACAAAGAGTGCTATATCTAGTTTCCTTGTTCTTGACAGTCAGAAGATATAAGACAGAAAACTAAAATCATAGTAGCATGAGGAAAAAAAATATCTTTATGCTATGGGAAAAAAAGCTTGAGGCCTAAATACCTTCCTGTCTCCATCCCCTACCTCAGCCCCACACCAGAACTGATACAGGACTTCTTATATACTGTTTTCCACCTCCACAATTGACAAAGGACCCCTCACAACAGACTGTGTCTCATGTAAATGATCTAGACCCCGACTCTGACACATGATCTGTCTATCTCAGAAATGACCTAGACTCTTTCCTCATGAGAAGGATCCTGCAAGCTTGGGGATATAGCCTCTGACTGCCTCAGCAGCTAAAATAGAAAATGGCTGTTTGGATAAAGGGAATAAATGGATATTTAGGGATTTTCTATCTTCTACCATTGATTCTAGGACTATGTATCTCCTTCTTTCTACTTTGAAACTTAAAATGTGACATATTGGGGCACTGAAAAAGGATATTTTAGAAAAATACAGATACTCTGATGGCTTCTTCAATTTGGAAATACTTGAAACTGAACTGCCTCCTCGGTAACCTGAAAAATTTCTATGCATCAAAGCAAGTGTGTGCACCAAATTGTCCCAGTACAGGTAGCTGAATGACTACCTCTCAGCTAGGCTTCACTGCTTAGAATTGAAATATCCCCCAAGTCCCCAGTAGTGTCCCATCAGTCTGGTGCTTGCAGAGGCAATGTCATGCACACAGCATGCCTTGAGTTCAACACAAAACAATCACTTTCATCAGAGAAAAAAAAAAAAGTGTTAGTATCACAACTTTTGTCCAGATTGCTTCTTTGGTTTGAGCCCTCCCCTAATTTCACTATATTCAGGGTCCCTCCAGAACTGCTGTTTTTCTATGCTATTTTTCACTTCTGTTCAGTTTTAACAGGTCAAATAGAGGGTACCTCCCACCAGCCTGTTGCCTAATCTGGTTTTAATAATACACCCTAGCAAGGTAGAAGATATGGCTAATGTGATTTCTTGAGTGAACTGAATATAAATTTTCCACTTTGGTGCAAGTTCTCTAACTGCTGGTAGTTGTAAAACAGAAGACAAACAAGTACAGCAGTTAGGGAAGTGCTAAATCACAGAGCAAAGGCTTGGTACATCCCAAGCTATTG